CCTTCTGAAACATGGAGTCAGATCCTCATCTCTTCCCTCATCCTAAGACCCCTGTGAACACAGTCACAGGGCTCAGCAATTCTTTTCTTCTATATCAAAACTTGCTTTTATTTCTATTCCTTCTTCAGATTCTGCATTCAGAAGAATGCTGCTAAGCACACAAATCTGTGAGACCTTCTTGTGAAACTTTCATCCTTCCCAACTGTAGGAGCATCGGGGGGTAGGACAGTGGGGATGGACAGAGATGAGAGATCTCTGCAGCCAGGCTGTGGAATTTGGGGTTTATTGCAAAGGGCCTGGGTGCAGGGCCCTGCTGGGAGCTGCAGCCACAGCTCAGAGCAGGCTGAGAGAAGAGAGGGGGAGAGAGGATGAGAGGGTGAGAGAGTAAAAGGGTGAGAGAGCGAGGTTCCCGTTCCAATACAATAAATCTTCTGTGTTGAATATTCTGATTCTCACTAACCAATCCAGTACAAGATACAAATCCTACAGCATTCACATACAGCCTATACGAATCATTACATTACCACACTGTGTTACATTTTAAACCCTAAAAACTCCTCTTTGGCCCCTTCTGCCAAGCTGCAGGGTCTGCTCTGACCCTTGGGCCTGTCTGCAAGCAGAGGGTGTTTCATCACCTTCAGTGGCCACACCATTGTTTTCCAGTTGTTCAGTAACTGAGGGATCTCAGAGCTTGCTTTCATTTCAATCTCCCTTATAGTTTCCATATTCTCAAAATCTTTTGCCAGACAATCACATTGATAAGGGTTTCCTGTTTCATCTTCCCCAACACTTCCCACTGCTATCCCCTAAGAGAAGCCCTTAGGACCTGGTGCCTGCTGCTCTCAGTGACGGGAGCTGTCCCTGTCCGTGTCCCCGCAGGTCCCTGGCCCTGGGCCAGCAGTACAGCTCCCTGGGCTCCCAGCCCATCCTCTGTGGCTCCATCCCCGGCCTGGTGCCCAAGCAGCTCCGCTTCTGCCGCAACTACATCGAGATCATGCCCAGCGTGGCCGAGGGGGTGAAGCTGGGCATCCAGGAGTGCCAGCACCAGTTCCGGGGCCGCCGCTGGAACTGCACCACCATCGACGACAGCCTGGCCATCTTCGGGCCTGTCCTGGACAAAGGTAACCCTGGGGGGGCAGCTGGGCTGGGGGCAGGGCTGGCACAGCTCCCCTGGGCTTTGGGGTGCACCAGGATTGAGCACTGAGCTCCTCTGGGCTTTGGGGTGCACCAGGATTGTGCACTGAGTTCCCCACAGTTCCTCTGGGCTTTGGGGTGCACCAGGATTGTAGATTGAGCTCCCCTGGGCTTTACACAGGAAAAAGTGAGAAAGGGCCCCAAAACAGCCTGGAAGGAGAGGCTGGAGGGACAAATCATAGAATCACAAAATTCCCTGAGTTTGAAGGGATCATCCAGCGCAGCTCCTGCTCTGCCCTGACACCCCAACAATCCCACCCTGTCCATCCCTGGCAGTGCTGTCCAAACCTCCTGGAGCTCTGGAATTCCCTGGGCAGAGCCAGCATCCTCTGGGGGCAGAACCTTTCCCTGAGCTCCATCCTGACCCTCCCCAGCACAGCCCCATGATAATCTCAGATGCCCCAGAGCCCAGGTGAAAAAGGCATCCCCACAAAACTGAACCAAGGGGTGAATTAAAAGCTCCCAGTGGATAAAAATCTCCATTTTCTCCCATGGATTCTGTTCACTCTGTGCCACATTCAGCACAAGGGACATCCTCAGGTAATATCTTGGTTTCACAGCTTTGTAAACACAACAAAAATAATTCCCCCTCCTCTTCCTGGGTGTTGACACCACTGGGTCCCTGCAATAATTTCTTTATTGCACAGAAATTATTGTTTGCAGTGATGCTTTGGAAATGGGAATTTTATGGTACAGGCTTCAAGGAACTGGAGAAATTGGAGTGAGAGCAGAACTTTGAACTCTTTCCCATCAGTCCCCTGCAGAATTCAGGAGTTCTGGTGAATCTTTCCTTCAAAGCCCCAAAATTCTGCAAAGAAACAGTTCATAAAATCCTTTTTTTTTTTCAAGTTTCAGCCTCCCACTAAGGGTAGGTATCGTTTCAGATCCCAGAAATGTCAGTTGAGAATTTCAGTGAAAATCTTTCCTTTGTGTTAATGTGGGATTCTTTGCAGGAGCCAGGATTGTCAAACCTTATTAGAGCACTAATAGGCACCATGAGATTCATTCCCCCTCTGTTGTGCCAGGCTGTATTTTGGGGTAACTCTAATATTTACTACCAAATAACTTATCAGCAGGTCTCAATATACTCTGATTTGTTGCCTAATTAAAGCCTGTCCTAAATTTCAGCACTTAAAAGATCAGAAAGTTTTAATTTTCTTCAAAAAACGGTCACTAAGAAACTGTCATAAAAATTCTAAACAAGTTATGAAAGAACTGCTCAAGCACTGAGACACTGAAAATCTCTCAGCACCATTTCTGTCAGCAGGAAAGCACTTAAAGATCAGATTTGAACCATCCTCCCTGTAATGAGCAAAGTGAACTTTGAATTTATGGAGAATATTTTAAGATTCTTTTCGGCTGCAGGGACTCAAGCAAAGCCTCAAGTGTGGACTTGCCTCAGCATCTCCACACACCCCGAGCTGACAAGGTAAAATATCACCCAGAGCTCTGAAAATCTTCTGACAGATGGAGAAAAATGAGTGAGCACGTTGGAAATATCCTTATTTTCCCACTCCAGACAGCCCTGCCAGGCTCCCAGGGTGGATTTATCCTGGTGTCTCACTCACCTGTAAGTGGAGCAGTTAAAAATAAACAGCATCATCTGCAAAGGAGGACACATCAAAGCCCAGCCCATCTGATGCTGGGGATTATTCACATTTTTTTGAACCATGCTCGTGTCTTTTCCTTGCTGCCTTCAAAATTAATGAGCAGATTGAGGATGGGACTGGTGGCACCGAGGAACACAGGGAGCCTTTGACATTCCCAGAGTCTGCAGCAGAGAAAAATCTTTGTGGGGTTTGAGGGAGGAGAAAAGGGGATGTGGTTGAGCTCAGAGGT